CTTCTTCTTCTTATGTTTCTTGGTGTGACTCGAGCCAGCTTCTGGGTAAGGAGCGGTTGGGGTTGATTCGGTTCTTGGCTCTGAGGTTTCTGCGGATGTGGCTCTTCTCTTCTCTTTCCGAGCTCGCTTTGCAGCAGGAACTGTCACCATTGCCAGGTTCCGCTTTCTTCTGACCTCGTCGATCTGCTCCTGAACTGACATCTCCTCTGGTCGTTCGTCTGTCTCAGATGGCAGACCTCTTCCTTCTTCGTTCTCAGAATTCACCCTTTCGTTGACCTCGGGCTCAACCTCTGTTTGGATCTCCGGTGCGGCCTCTCTATCCTCCCTCAACTGATCGGCTCCTTGCGTTTCAGTTTTGGCTTCTAGGCTTTCTTTCTTTTCTGCTTCAGGCTCATTCGCAGCATCGTGTTCCTCCTCTTGTGCCACCGATTCAACCTGGGCTTCGTCGGGAAGCGGATTCTCTTCTCCTAGATCATCCGATGATTTGGCTGATGAGTTTCCACCCTCATCTGCAGTAGCGAATGATTCGCTCTCGCTTTTGGCCTCCTTATCTACTTCAGACCTTCCCTCGCTCTGAGTCACTGGCGGATTCTGTTCTTCCCCACTCGATCTATCGATTAGATGAGGAAACGAAGCATCACCTGTTGCATGTGCCATCTTTGATTTCAATTTCTTTCTGATGAGCCCTCTTCGTGTCGCAGACACCATTTTATGCGCGGATCTAGACTGAGATGCTCCGAATTGAGTCACACAAATTCTTTGCACCTAGGGTTTTGACCCAATTCAGTGTTGACTCTCTTCCTCTTCCTCTCCCGCAAATATAGCAACTTCAATTTCCCTCTCCTCTGTTTTAATTTCTCCTTTTCCTTCATGGGCTGCTGTTGAGCCTATCTAAATGAGCATCATTTGTCAACGGCCCACTTCCTGTTCAACCATGACAAATTTTTCTAAAAAGGAACCCGTTAGTACATCACATAGAACACGACATTCATTGACACATTTAATCTGAAGAATTTTGTGATGACTAACATAGACAGTAACCGTTCATGTCATCACCCTCAGCTGGCTTTTGAAACAGTTTTTTTTTTTAGTTCAGTTTGTTTACCCAGGTTCACAGATGATACATAGACTGACTCAGC